TAATTTCCAAATTCTGTTGGGTCATCTTCTTTGGGAATAAGAACAAATATGGATCTCTTCCAGTCAGTTGATCAGATGTCTTCTAAATTATTATAGTGTGTAATAGGCAGTCTCCTTTCATAAGGAATTGAAGTCTATGCAACCCAGTGGAGGGTCATTATAAGTCAAAATCAATTCAGTGGTAGCAGATTTGATTTTGTATATTATCACTCATCCATGGACATTAAAAATACATATATAAATGACATTCTTGATATTGTTTATTAAAGAACAACAATTTAGCCTTCTAGTCAATGAAGCTATATTCAAATTAAAGATATACTGACTTTACCTCCAAAGTTTGCAAAGTACTTTATATATTCTTATTGCATTGCCACATGATTCCCACTTAAGTCATATAGCACCAGATAACTCTTGGGAGTTTGAATACCTATATGTTTTCAATGCCTGTAATTCTCTAATGTTTAAACGACAATATAAAGATATAATATTTTACTATTGTCATTTCAGTAATGTTTAGTTCTTTCTGCTCTACATATCAATGACTATTTAAGGGAGCACTGGTAGCCTAATGGTAAGAAGCTACACTGGCAACACAAAGATGTACAGTTTGAATCCACCAGCTTCTCCATCAGAGAAAGAAAATCAATTCTCATGTGATGTGATTTGCTGTTGTTGTGTGCCATCAAGTTACAGCTATCTCATAGCTGACCCTGCAGTGAGTTTTCACAGGTAGTAATCACACAGGAGGAGATTGCCTATCTTCCATTGGAGCAGTTGGTAGGTTTGAACTGAGACCATTTGAGATAGCAGTGCAGCTTCTGACCACTATGTCACCAGAGGTCTCTACAGATCTATAGGAAGCAAATAATAAATATAACTAACATTAGGAAAAAATAATGAAGACTGTACAAATAATAAGATAATTGTTAATAACTCATCAGTTAAGTAAAGATGCATCGTAAGTAAAGTCAGATGCATCATATTTGACAGTTCTTCCAAACCACATTAAGAGATTGAACTAGTTGGCTTCTGCTGCCAAAACTATGTCCCTCTGTATGATGTCCTTTCCAGCAAATATAAAGTGATTGTAATCTCAAGGGAATGTTAAACTGTCTCCTGTCCCCTGCTGGGTTTTTGCAAAGCAAAGTTAGAAAAGCCTAAGTTAAAGAAACAAGCTAAGATTCCAAACTGTTTCAGAAATTTCTTTAGAAGAGACCTTTCCTTTACTGCTTTACGCTTTTTGCTACACAATGAGTTTATTCATTCTTCAGGACAAAGAATTCTGGAAGGAGGGAAAAGCAAAGAAAACTTTCTTTGATTAAAAAGAACTCACATGGCTGTTCAATATCCTGTGAATTCAACTGAAGTTAAATTATGCTAATTATATAGTTAGACACTAACTACTAAACTTAAATATTAAAAATATTAAATTTAATTTTATTAATTTCTGTAATTTAAAAATTGCCTTTTGCACTATTTGCTACCTTCCATTAGTAGTTATAAATTATTTTTAGTAAATCTAAGGACTGACACAATCCACAGGGAGTTACACTTCTAACCCAAAGGGGGCACCTCTCTGATGGTTCAAATCCACTAATAGCTGCAATGGAGAAAAAGGAGCCATTTCTTCTCTGATCACTTACAGTCTTGGATGAGCTGTACATGGTGGGTGAGCTGCATGTTGGTTCTGACTCAACAGAAATGAATTTTTTCATCTTTATAGACTTTAGGAAGTTATACAGAAAAAGACAATGTTTTCATCAAAAAATACATTATATGTTATTGGTGAAAGTATCCCTTTCACAGTAATTCCTACTAAACTACTTTTAACAATCTGATGCTATAGCTTCTAAAGAGGTGTTGTTTGTTGTTCTTACTGCATATGACTGAGTCAGAACCAACCCATAGCTGACCCTCCAGTGGGTTTTCAGAGGCAGTAAATCACACAGAAGGAAATTCCTCATCTTTCTCCCACGATTTGAACACTTAACTTGGTGTTGGCAGCACAACTCCTCACCATTAATCAGATATTAAAGAGCTCTAGTAGTCTAGTGCTAAGACACTGAACTGCAATTCCAAAGGTATGTGGTTCAAATCCACTAAGTGCTCTGTGGGAGATGGATGGGCAATCTCCTACCATACAATTCATTGCTTCTGAAAACTGATGAATGGTTTGCTGTGAACTGGCTCTGACAACAATCAGTTACTACAAAGTAGTTAAAGCCAATGAAATTTGGAATCTGAAACCTAAATTTAAATCCTTTTTCTATACTTTACAGTTGGAATATTGGCAATTACAAAATATTAATTTTTATTTTAATGTCATTAAGATGTAACATCACTATGTAGGTTAAGGCAAGATTGAAAATCTTTTTAACAAAGAGAGGTGGGTATACAAAAATTACTTACACAAGAGATAAGTATTTTCGACCATATGCCGTATTCTGCTTGGTAGATCAATAAAACTGACAATGTTAAGAGAGTCTAGTTCTAAGAGAGGAATTCAATTTTAAGACAAGCAGGAAATAAAAATATAACATCATCAAAACTTGTAGCCGCTGAGTCTACCCATTCAGATAAAGAGGACTTGGTAGTTACTGTGAACAGTGATTCTTACTGAAAATAACTGAAAATTAAAATGCTATCAAGTATTATATTTGTACATTGGCTTTTCACTTAGAAACTTGAATTTGTTGGAGCAATGTTCATCTGGGCAGTTAGAAAGTTAACAGTGAAACCAATCAGAGAAGGCACTCAACTTAAAACTCATTGCTGAACCCTCAAAGCTAACACTCCACTGGGTTTGAGGCTGAAAACTACGTGAGAGGAGATGATCCATCTTTTGTTCCTGTGAAGTTGCTTGTGGATTCAAACAACCATAGAGGTGTAGTCTTTTGCAGCACAAATTCCTATGGACTATGACACCAGTTTGGTATGTTGTTTCTAAAGCTAGATGATGATGATGTTTAAGAAGTTATTTATTTAGGAAGGACATTTGGAAAGATAAATGTTTTTTAAACAATACATTGTGTTTAAAGTTGCCAAGTTTTTACATATATATTCTTAACCACTTTGCAACTAGAAAGGTAAATAATATAATTTTGTTGTAGTTGAAGAATTTATTTCCTTAAAAATTCCAACTTTCATTCTCAACTACCAATACCGGATACATATTTTGTAGGAGGAATAATGTGTTAGCCACTGATAATTCTTCAGCAGTTGGCATAGAATCCAACTATATTTTACATTCAATAAACACTGAATAAATAAATTATTTAATGAAAGAAGTGGAAGGAAAGCAAACTCAAGACAGCAGAAAGATGCAACTTTGCCATCTAGTGGTAACTTGACAAAAATGTACTTAAATAATTCACAGAGTTGACAAAAAACTTTTAAGACCAAACAGGTGTTTGGTCAATCTTGCCACTAACAGCACTGCTTTCCTGTGTGGTAATTACAAGGCTGTCAGACATGCCCTCTTATATGAAGAAGTTTCCAATACAAGAAACCATGTAGAAACAAAATAGTCATTAAGATTTGGTCTAATGAAGAGTCACTGTAGGATGAAAAGGATAAAGACTGACTCTTAGCTGAAAGGCTGGTGATTTGAACCCATCCACAGTTGTCTCTGGTCACAAGTTTGAAAACCTTAGGGTTGGCAGTTCTACTCTCTGTATGCACGAGTTGAAATCAGCTCGATGGCAACTAACAAAAATCAGTATATAGTGATCAGTATATAGTAAGTATGGCACTAAGCAGAGACACGTGTACTTTTCTCCTATATAATTTATTAAAGCTAAACTTTAAATCTTAAAAAATATTGTGGTATTTTGGTCAAAATTTTATGAGTCTGCTTGAGAAAATAAACAGAGTTATTCTGTCATGGAAATTCAGTGTGTGTCTTACAACTCATTAATAAATCATATCCCACTTTATTCATAACTTCACATCAAACCAGTTATATTCTATTTACCTCAGTGTATGTCAACAGACCTTGCTGCCAGCACAGAACAAAATTCCCTTCTTTTTCTTCATCACTGTGAAAAAGAACTAAATGTTCCCAAACTCCATATGCATCACCCCTAGCTTGAGGCTTATACTAAACACCCTTTAGGACTTTTTGTTGATTTATGTTCTTATTGTACCTAAAAATAATCTAGCATCCTACTACTGTTCTATTTTTCTACTTTGCAAAGGTAAAAGAATTCTTCTACCTCAAGCTTCAATGTAAAAAAAAGTTAATTAAAAAATAGAGGCAAATATTAATAGAATTTCCACTTCAAATTAAGACACACACCCTGCCCTTAGGGGCCCTCTTTAAACTTTGCTCCAACTGGAACCTCTCATTCTCAGAACTCATTGTATGGCCTTCACTCTTCTAGAATTTCACTGGCAATGGCTGATGATAATCATTGTGGGGTTTTGTGTTTGGTGTTTTAATAATTTCTTATAATCACTTTTTACAATATGAACTCTATCACAGTACCAGCAAAGTTCCTTCCACCTATAAAGAATATGTAAGCATACTTTTTTAGTAAAACTTAACTATTAGAAATAAGGAGAAGAATAAGAATGAATTGTTCTTAGTGGGAATACATTTGACCCAGAAGTCAGTCAGTCCTGGATCCCAGTGCCTCATGCGGCTCCATCCACCCTGAAGTTCGCTGATGAATGCCCTATCTCCCTGCCAGCAGTAGGTGTCACGCAGGCAACTAGAGCAAAAGAGAGCAGGAGAGCCGGAAAAAAAGTGGCCAATCGCAGGAAAAAGGACTAGATATTCAACTATAGTCACACCTTTTATATTCATTTATGCTGACTGAAAGGGAAACTTATGCGCTCACGGCAGGCAAATGCATTTCCATCTCCTATGTATGTTTGACCAAGCAATCATCAAAAGAAGTTCGGAACCAAAAAGCTCAAAACACTTTCTAAGTGACAAAAGTGTGTAAATAGTGAGCCAGGACAACAAGGGCAGAGCATCAGTGACGGGTACTCACCGTGGTGGTGGTGGTCACCTCCTCTGTCACGACCTTCAGGGTGTCGACCACCGAGATGTAGCCCAGACGCTTAGCAATCGCCAGGGCGGTGTTGCCATTCTAAAGAGAGTGAAAGAGAGAAAAGAGAGTGAGAAAGGAGAGGGAGGACTGAGATGAGAGCCAATGAGATCACCCGCTGCTCTGCATGAGCCAGCATTTCCTTCCAAAACAAGACACAGCTTAGGAAAATCACTAGTTTTTACCATTACATCTAAATTTGTCTTTGCAACTTCTTTAGACTATAGCCCGTGTCACCATGGTAACACAACAAGCTTACATCTGCCTGCTCTTTCTAATAAAAAAGCACTTGATGCTTTAACCCTAAGATTGTCAGATATTTCTACAGATACTTTATTGTGCTAATGAAAGCGTTTTGTGAATTGAGGTTGCTGTCTCCAGAAACTTAACAGTAAGAGGTGTATTTCTTCTTCATGAGAAGTCACACTTTCTGCTACAGGTAAAACGTGACCATGGAGAAGGCATAACATTTTTAGCTGCAGCTGTGAAGAAGCTCAGCCTGTATCAAAAAAACAAAAGACAGCATTCCAGGCTCCAGCCTGGGGCCACTGGGGATCCCTGTTTGTTTAATTGCAGCACTTAGTTTACATTTCAATGGCTCCACATTCAATGAGCTTCCTCCCAGCCAGCAGCCTTAGAAACTGGGCTACCTTAAGCCGGCCAGCAGGGAGGGGTTGACTGGTGCTCACATCTGAGAACCAGCTGTTAGTCCAGCAGTTTAAACAGCCCACGTGGAAGACCCACTGTCCAGAGAGGAGACCCCAAAGTCAGGCTGTCCGTTCTCCTTCACCAGCAAACACACCCAGTGAAATCATTTGGACTTCTTCAAATAATCCAGCAGCTCATGCAATTAAGGGTGTATTAAAAACTCAGTTCAAGCAAGAGGTCACCAGAACAGGAGAGGAGGAAGAAGAAAACATGGCTAGGGTAGCTGGCTGGCTCTCTTACCGCTGTGGTGGCGTTGGGTTTGGCTCCGTGCTGAAGCAGGACATTGATGATGTGCGTGTGGCCCTGCTGGGCAGCCTGGTGCAAAGGCGTGTAGCCATTCTGGGGATGACAGTAGCAGTGGGACCAGCAGGGAACAGACAGAGGGAGAGGAAAACTAGGTTAACATTCATTTTCAAACTCTTTGTCTTATTTGAAACAAAAGCATCCAAGATGGTTTGTTTATTTGGAGCTCAAAGTCACCAGGAACCTATTTCTCAGCAGCAAATACTCCCTCACACCTTATGTTGTGGTAAAAGAGTAAGATGAACTGACTGCAAATTATTCTTCTAGTTCACCGATTAGCACTAAAAATGGTTCGGCTGAGAGGAGACTTACAATGAGAAAGGACATTATCACTATGAGTTCTTTTACAGGAAACAAGGAAGAGTAAAATTGACTTTGACTGAGGACTGCAGTCCTCATACAAACCACTGCTTGCATATCACGAGACTCCTAAAAAAGTCTGGGTTAGCTTTAAGGATTCAAAGTCGAAGAAGGCAAAATAAAATTTTAAACAAACAAAGCTGAAAGAAAGTCTACAATCTTGATTTCGTTCGGAGACTAGTTTTCATCAAAGAAAACATCACATGTACACTGAAACAATAGAAGTCTTCATTGGAATCTGAGTAACTTGTCCTCATGAGAAAACGTTTTATTATTTTATTTAAGTGAATAATGAGAAAGGAACCATACAATAAGAATTTTATTAGATTTTTTAAATTAATTACATGAATCAATTTTAATTAGTTATCAAAAAATGTCTATGAACAATGGATTGATTTTTTCTCTAAAGACTAAATTCTTTAGCATTTTAGTCTCAAAAGCTTTGTGATCCATGATTTCCAAGGAACTTATGTTAAAGTTAGTGAGAAATCTAGCAGATGCTAGAAACTCTAGTGGATGATAGGTGTGGGACAAGTTGGCTATAGCTTCACACACACACACACACACACACACACACACACTACTAGGCTATTTTGAGGGACAACAAAGCAATGATAACACCAATTCATCTTGAGTCCATTCTGACTTAATAAAGATTCCATGGCTACAAATGGTTCCCAGGGGCTGATTTTTAAAAATAGATTGCCAGTCCTTTATTCCAAGGCATATATGTAGGGTACCATGAGACTCAGTGGCAACTGATTTAGTTTTGTGGGTTTGGAAGCAGGAATGGCATCTAAACAACATGCCTCTGGAAACTCTATGAACTTTGAGAAACAATGATAGCTATTGAAAGGCTTCAGGTCTTTTGTTCATAGGGTCACTGAGTCCTGTTCTACTTGATGGCAATCAACAAGAAGATAATTAAAAGGAGGAGCTTGAAGGATGCCGCAAAGTGGGCTTAAAGAATGTTCAAGAATTTAGTGGTAGAGAGAAGTGGAGGTACAGCGACACCTGAGAGGTGCCAGCTTTGGGTTAGCAGTATAACTCCTTAAGGATTAGGCCACCAGCCTCCCTAAGCATTTATATTGTCGTGTACCATTGACTCAGAATTGGCCTATAACTGACCCTACAGTGGGTTTTCAGAAGGAGCAAATCACACAGGAATGAAATGCCAAGCTTTGTTCCTTGGAGACACTGGTAGATTTGAACCAGGTATTTTGGGTTGGTAATACAAATTGAGGACAACTCATAGCAATCCTATGAACAAAAGATCTGAAGCCTTTCTATAATTATTGTTTCTCAAAGTTCATAGAGTTTCCAGAGGCATGTTGTTTAGGAAGTGGATGCTACTCCTGCTTCCAAGGCACTAGAGCTCCCTAGGATTTGTATTAGAACATATGAAAGGAAATCCAAAATCTCTGTAAATGTAAAAAAAAAAAACAACAAAACAAATAACAACAACAAACCAACAAACTTGTACACACACACAAAGAACATATAAGTTTCTCAAAATAAACTTCAAGAGAATACAATAAGTGAGTGTAAACTTGGTTGCTGCTGTTAGCTCCTAATAAGTCAGCCTTCCAACTCGTGGCAACATCATGCACATCAGACTGGACTACTGCCCAGTCCTGAATGGTCATCACAGAAACCATTGTTGTTGTTCTTGGTGCTATTAAGTTTATTCCAACTCACAGTGATACTAGGAGAACAACAGATCTCAACAGGTGCAAATCCATTCTTGTGTCAGTTCATCTTATAGTCCTTTCCTCCTTCTCTCATGATGTCCTTTGCCAGGATATGGTCCCTCTTGACAATATTCTCAAATTGTGTGAGATGAAGTCTCCCATCCTTGCCTCTAAGAGACACTCTGGCAGCAGTTCTTTTTGTAAAGAGTCATATTAAATGTTTGAATCACGATATTTACCATTTTTAAAACAGCTAATTTTAAATTAGATGTTAAATAAAATTGCTTATGGAAATAATTTTTGTTATGACTTTCTGAAAAGGATAGAAAAAGAAAGACTAATTTACAAAAATTTTCTGTGTTCTCTGTGATAATATCTAGAATGACTTTGATTATTGCTGAGTGTTGTCTATACTAATTTATCTTAACCCACTCAACATAACTGTTGTTGTTGTTGTTATGTGCCATCGAGTCGTTTCCGACTCATAGCGACCCTATGCACAACAGCCCTAAACCCTGCTCTATCCTGTGGCAACATAACTAGAATTAAGAATTCTTGATGCATATACTTTACAGGGGTGTAAACACACCCACACCACCACACACACACATCCTATTCTTTGGACCCAGCAACCTTTAGCTTCAAGTTGTCTTTTTCATAGAAAATCCACAAAACCAAATCAGTTACCATTGAGTTTCATGGTATCCTCTGTGTGTCTGTGTGTATCCTGTGGGTATGTGCCATCAGGTTTTCACAAGCTCATTTAAATTAAAAAGGAAAAATAGGCCAACTTTCTTCTAAGTGCCTCTGGGTTGACTTAAGCTTCCAATCTTTAAGTTAACAGTTACACAGTTTCACTGTTTGCACTACCCTAGGCTTCCCTAAACCTTATTCCAAAGCTTATTGCAATTCAGTCCAACTACTATCATTTCTCTGGTTTCTGAGGCTATAAATCTTCACAGGATGAGACTACCCATCTTTCTCACAGATACTGGTGAATTCCCACTGCTATTAGTTAACATTCTTAGCTAAAAGTTAACTGTAGTTAACTTATCTTTTAGTTAACAGTCTGGCACATTGTACAATTTCTGCTCCTTATTATATATCTTAGCAGTAATTTACACATATTTATTTCCTCATGAATGAATATGAGTAAACTGAAATACAATATCATGTTCTACCCTTTCATGATGACTGTCATTACATGTCATCAAGTTGACTGTGACTCACAGTAATCCAATGAACAATGCTCTGAACCTTACAGTATCCTGAACTGGCCTCACAGGTATGTCAGGGATGACAAGGTGGGCTTTGATGAATAGAATCCTTTAAACAAAATCTCTGGAGGAAAACAATGGGAATAAGATGATTTCTGCATTACATATTTGAGAATTTCCAGCCCAGCTCTTACATATGATTTCTCACTGAGAATGGCTTTCTGATGTTCCTAATGCAATAGAGCTCAAAATATGAAAAACATGCAATGTAATCTACTTATTTGTATTTCCTCAAAGAGGGTAGAGATTAAAAAAGAAGGTACCAAAGTTCTAAAGAAATTTAAATAGAATATGCTATGATATCAAAATGTTCAGACAGGATTCTATTGTATAAAGCCCTCCACTGTTACAGAGTAGATCTCAACTCACAGTAACCCTATATGATAGAGTCCTATAGGGTTTCCTTGGATATAGGTCTTTATAGAAGCTGATGCCTTCTTTCTTCTAAGAGAGGCTATTAGGCTTGTACTGCTGACCTTTCGGTTAACATTCCAATGCCCTGACCACAGGGCCTCTAGACAGCTTATCTATGAAAATGATGTAATAAATTGTCACAAACTTTGGGCATGTTGTTAAGGGGGTCCAGTCTTTGAAAAAAGACAATATGCTTGGAAAAGTGAAGCAAAGAGTCAGCCAAGGAGGGGAAACCCTCAACAAGATGGGTTGACTTAGTGACTGTAGTGTCGGGCTCAAGGATGTCAGAGATGATAAGGATGGCACCATTTGGGGCAAGGTTCAGATCCATTGTTCATAGTCATAGTCAATTCAATGGCACTTAACGACAATAACATGCCAGTTTACTTTAACTCTACAATATAAGAGGTCAGATGATAATGGCTAGCAAAGATTACTGGAATGAAAAGTGCCACAGAAGCTTAAAATTTTATTATTTCTTATAAATCTCTTTGGAAAACATAAAATTTTTTTAAAAGGACACAACCTGTAGCCATGGTGAACTCGTGAAATTTATAGGTACCTGAACCTGTTTGCTAATGCTGTTGTTATTGTGTACTATCAAGACAAAATTCACTCGTGGCTGACTTAGCAGGTTTTCAGAGGCAGTAAATCACATGGGAGGAGACTGCCTATCTTTCTCACACAGAGTATCAGGTGAATTGGAAGTGAGTACATTGGAGTTGAGAGTACAGCTCCTTATCAGTAAGCCACCAGAGCTCCCTTTTTGCTTACAGAATATTAAAATTAGTACAATATTTTACCTTGGTTTTTGCATTGACATTTGCTCCCTGCTTCAGAAGAAAGTTGACCATTTTCACGTTTCCATAGTGACAGGCCACAATTAAAGGAGTATAACCAAGCTGTAACAATAATATTAATAAAATACCATATCAACAAATAAGGTAGAGACTTTACCGTATTAGCAGTTAAGACTCAAGTAGAAAGCATTTGATATCATTTCATTTCTGGTTAGATTAGTTAAAATTCAATTTGACTGAACAAATACCATTTAGCAGACAATATATGCAGTGTATAGGTACAAATATAAATACAAACAGATCTGTGACCACAAAGAATTTAATACTGGCAAGGACAATGAGATATGTGCTTGGCTTGCTCTGACAAATAACTAAAACTCATTGCTCTTGAGTTAAAACTGACTTATAGCTCACTCTACAGAGGGTTTCTGAAGCTGTAAATTTCATGAGAGAAGATTGCTTATCTTTCTCCCATGGAGCTGCTGGGGGTTTAAAATCACCAAAGAATTGTAGTCTTTGGGTTAGCTGTGCAACTCCCTACAAAGTAGGTCACCAGAGTTCCTCACCAGAGCTCTGCAGAGAAGTGAGCTGCATAAATAATATGACCTGAAAGAGAGACAGACTCTGCTCTTGTTCAGAATCAATAAGACCTTGAAGAGGGCCTTTGTATTTAAAAGACAGTTGTTATATTTTGGAGGAACATTCTTCTAAGTGGTAGAGCACTCTTCTGTCAATTTGCTGTACAGAGGTAACCTGGGGTTGCTATGATGTTGAACCTTTTGCCATTGGGGTGTCAAATACCATAAAGGTTACCCATGGTGGACAGTGTTTGGTGTAGCTCCCAATTTAAGACAGGTTTTGAAGCAGGAGTGGCATCCACTTCCTAAACAATATGCCTCTGGAAACTCTATGAACTTTAAGAAACAATGATAGTTATAGAAAAGCTTCAAGTCTTTTGTTCATAGGGTCACTACGAGTCGTGCTCAACTCGATGGCAATCAATAACAACACGATAATTAAAAGGAGAAGTGGAGGTCATTCCAGCTCTAAGAACCTGGAGGTTAGCAAGCACCTGAAAGAAACAGCAAGTTGTCTGGACTAGATGAAGCTATAAGGGAATATACCAATAAGCCTGCAAAATTGGTGCCTTTTCATGATGACCATAACATCAGACTAACCATGTAGATTTGGGTAAAGCAGAGAAATGAAGAGTCACAGCAGATTTATGGGCAGGAAAGAGTGTTATGAGCAGTTTAAGAAAAATATTCTAATTTTGCTGTAACACATATGAAATATAAGTTTGCTGTAGCACAGATTATGAAATATGTTTGCTGTGGAAAAATATAAAGATTAATTTAATGCTTAAGTATAGAAATAAGAATATTTGTGAAAAAATATACTAGCAGTTTAACACACCTAAATAAGCCTCTTTGAGGTCTAGAGCCCCATTGACCATAGTAGGTGTAAACCCTTGATAAGGAAATATAATTGATAATGTGTGAATCCTGATAAAGGAATGTAACTTGTTACTGCCCATGTTACTAAGAGAACATAATTTGTGCATTTATGAATAAGAAATACATTGGGAATCTGCTATACATTAGAAAGAAGAAATATGTTAAGAACTTGTTATATGTTAAAAATAAAATAATATGTTAAGAACTTGCTATATTATATGTTAGAAATGAAAATAAGGAATATGTTAGGAATTTGTTGTTAGAAATTATATTAAGAATATTTGTGAAAACATAGTGGCTCTGGGGCCTCACTGACCATAACAGGTGCAGACCCTTGATGAGGAGATATGACTGGTTACTGCCCATGTTGCCACGAAAATACAACTAGTGTTGAACATGATTGATCAAACCCAAATTTTATTCAACATGTCCCAGCATGTCCCACTTGCCTCACCATAATGTAAATCGGGGAAGCTAGAGTAAATAAATTCTGGCTGTGCCCAGCAAATCTCTCTCTGCACTTTACAATGAGCTAAATCCTGAAGATCCGCAGTCTCTTTTTAGGGCCAAAGATCTAAGGGCTCTTTTCAGAGCCAAGAACTCTGGTCTACACTGATGGACATGAGTTAATGAAACAATGGAAGATTCTGCCCACACCAATGGGCCCTGGCTACATTCAACTGCTAACTGAGAAGCCCCCAACTGCAAGAATGACCATGAGAGGCAAAAGAAGGAGATGAGTGGGATCCTGGGGTGAGGGAATATTCTCCACTGTTGATGAATCAATACGTTACGATGAATTTATGAACTGCAATGCAGATAAGTTGCAATTAACTGTTTAATGCTTGCTATGAATTGAGGAATCAATATGTTGTGGTGAATTTATGAACTGCAATGTAGATGAATTACAACTATTGCTATGAATTAACTAATTAGTAAATCAATAAATGACAATTGGCTTTTGTAATATGTCTATGAGTAATTAACTAAGGCTCAAGGCTCATGATAAAAGAGTAATGATTAAGCTAAATTTCAGAGTGAAATAAACAATATGTGAGACATGGAGTCAGGGTGATGCAAGTAGAGGTGACTGGGAATTTTCTAACTTGGAGTCTGCCACAGTATTGATAATAATTTGCTTTACCTTCGTATGAGCATCCTGGTCAGCTCCATGTTTGGTGAGTATCTCAGCAACATTCACTTTATCTTCCTGGGCTGCAAGGTGTAAGGATGTGAGTCCACTCTATAGAATGAAAGGAAGCAAAGAGACCCATTTGAAAAATACACATAAAACATATATAAAAAATAATATGTCATATAATAATCTTAGGGAGCTCTGCTGGCTTAATGGTAAGAAATAGTGCTGCCAATACAAAGGTAATTGTTATTGTTATATGCTGTTGAGTCACCTGTGGCTCATAGTAACCGCATGTACAACCACCCTAAACCCTTCTCTATCCTGTGTCAATCTCATTGTCTCTATCTAACACATCTACTACCTCCATTTCCCCAGGCACTGAACCAATACATCTCAGCACAGAGTTATGTGGTTAAAAATTCACCAGTTGCTCTGTGGGAGAAAAGTAAGCACTCTCCTCTGTGCAATTTACTGCCTCTGAAAACCCAATGGAGGGTCAGCTATAGATTGGTTCCAACTCAACAATACACACAACAAAAATAATCTTAGAAAACTCACTTTCCACAAACTTTTTTTTAATATCTAAGACAAACTCTCTGTTAATATGATTTTTCTGTCGAGACACACTCTCTAAGTTAATCAACACTTGCAGTGATTTTCTATATTGGGTACTTATAATGTGAGAGTCTTAAAAATAGCTCAGCTAATGGACTTCCAGACAACATTCATTTCAAACCATCTGGGCCATGTACTGCATCTATTTGTTTGCTTAAGTAATTGATCACTCAGCTACTACTTCTACTTCACAACCCTGGAAATAATCTATATTTTCATCTATAGACTATTATATCTGTGTAAGTAATGTTCAGTGTTATGGGAAATAAGTTCAGAGTAATTTATGTCAGTACTTAGAGATGGTTGACAATCATGCAGGCTTCGCTAGAAGTTAATTAAAAGTATCAGCATTTATATAACCCTAGAAACATTTTTGGGTTTTTCTATGTAAAATGCCATGTATATATCAGCAAAACACGATGTTGAATTAAATATTCAAGTAAAACCTGTAGCATTAAACTCAATTTCATTAAGAAATTAAAGAACAGACAAGGGAGGAAGCAGGGCTTATTTATTCAAAGGGATTGTTCATTCTGCTACAACCAGAAAATTTTGCTACATGTGCAAAAGAAGCTTCCTGTCAAGTAAATGTGAGATTTAAGAGCACCTTTAAAGTGGACATCTTTTGTTTGATTAATGGGTTTTGTTTAGCACCTCTCATATGTCAGAAAAGTGTCTTGGGAATTTGGAAAAAAATAGTGAACAAATGGCACTTCCCTTCACACCCTGTTTCTTTTCCCCTTCTCCCTATTCAAATAACTGTTGTTGTGTGCCATCAACTAGGAACCGACCCATAGCTGACTCTCTCGTGAGTTTTCAGAGGCAATCACCCCGGAGGAGAGTGCATGTCCTTCTCCCACAGAGCAGCTGCTGGATTGGAACCAAGTGTCTTCAGGATTGCAGAGCAGCTTCTAGCCACTAGGCCACAAATGCTCCCTCTCATTATTATTCAAATAACTAATGCATCCTATTCTTTCTGTACAGGATGTGGTTATAACATAAGGGTAGGTTTTCTTCCAATTAAAATCTACCATTCCTGTTGAACATTGCTTTGCAGAACAGTTCTGCTTTTGCAATTGAGAAAGTTAAGCCATGTTCTATTAAATCCACAGTCTCGATCTAGAAAGCCATTTCAAGAAATCAGCAAGTGTTTTGACCTTTACCAGTGTAAGACATATGCTTATCTACAGAGAGAAAAATGTTCTAGCCTAAAAAGAAAGATTTATTTGAGTTCCTGGAGCTTTTAAATTTGTATCCTCTGGATGAATTCAGCTTTGGATTTCATAAACTATCAGGGTGACACATAGTCATGTACTTCTACATTAATATTTAGTAGTACTTTCTAAACAAATATTATATAATCCTAAAGTATAAACAGTCTGCATATTAGAACAAAACAGAAGACTTTTCTTTATCCGAGTTTTCTCCATATTGAAATGGTAAACATAGAACTATTTCTCTTCAAAGAAACAGTCTGTTTATATATTATTATTAATGTTTTCATCAAATAATGATTAAATATCTAAAAAATATTGTTAAGGACTTGTCAAATGTAAGCCTTTTTACTATTCTTGCTCTGGATGGATTTTCAAGAAACATAAGATTACAAACTCATATCTAATGTAAAATTCCTCTACAGTTCATTATGGTTTCCTTGCATTTTTCTAATAAACATTACTTTCTTTTTGCTGCTGTGTACCTTAGACTAGGAACCGACCCATAACTCATTCTCCAGCAGATTTTCAGAGGCATTAAATTGCTTGGAAGGAGACTGTCCATCTTTCTCCAAAGCAGCTGAATGTATTAAAGGCATGTGTTTCAAAAAAGTAATTTATTTCCTGGTAGACCTTACAAGGGGTTTTATTGTAACATAGTGATTGGATAAAATTTGATACTGTTTCTCTTCTATAGTTCTTACTGAGAAATCATTTGGAAAATATAAAGTTATGGATTTCAGTTATGCTAAAATGAAAAAACAATTTTTTTTAAAAAATTGAGAAAGTTCATTACCTGTTTTTTTCTTACTTGAGACAATGTTATAAATTGAATTCTTACCATACTAACTAAAAGGAAAGTGTTTTTATGTATATATCATTTTATTGTGGTGAAATATAACCAGTATTAGCCACTTAACAATTTTAAGTGCACAATTTAGTGACTTTAATTATAATCCCCATATTGTATGACCATCAACTCTAGTAAGACTTCCCATAAGACAATACAGAAACTCATTCCTCTTAAAAAATAGTTTTTTATTCCTTACCTTCCCCAGAGAAAGCTATATTTTTATATATAAGCTATATTAAAATAGGCTTGGAAGCAGGAGTAGCATCCACTTCCAAAACACTGGAAACTTTATGAACTTAGAGAAAAGATGGAAGTTTTCCGTGTCCAAGACTTTCATTCATACGAGTCACCTAACGACTCAATAGTACTCAACAACAAGAAGCTATATACTTAGATATGTCTAAATATACTTTTTCAAAGCTTTACTCTAAAGACAAATACGTGCTACTTCATGTCTTTAGACTACCTTCCAAATCTAATATGAAAATCATTGCTATAAAGTTAACATAATTAACCTTGTGGTTCAAACTGAGTATCTCCTAATTGCTGAGTAAAGACAAAAGCTGTAATTATTATATATTTGTTCACAGTGTGCTAAAGTTCTTTCTTAGGGCAGTACTATATGGAGAAGAATAGCAGTAGTGAGCACAAAAAATAATTTATTACTAACATTCTGTATCAGAAGCATTTCCCAGAAGTATCATGAAATATCTAGAATTTCAATCTCTACTAAAAATTATTCATTTATGTTTCTTATTTTTCAAAAAGATTTATTTATTTGTTTTCAAAGATTATAAATACTTTGACACTCCCTCATATATAAAAATTAAATATCCTACCATAGGTTCATGGTCAGAACACTAGGGAGCTCTCTGGAGGTTTAGTAATAAGGAATCTTAGTGTCAACCCAAAGGTATGTAGTTCAAATACCTACCAAAGAAACATGGGCAGTTTTATCTCTTTATTTACTCTCTCCAAAAACCTGCTGGAGAGTCAGTTATGAGTTGATTCTGACTCAACAGTACTTAATAACAATAATAATAGTATTTATTTTATAAACGCAGGTTATGCACATGGATTTCACCAGATGGTATGCACAGGAATCAGATCGATTACATCTGTGGAAAAAAACGCTGGAGAAGCTCAATATCAGCTGTGAAAACTAGGTCAGGAGCTGATTGTGGAACAGACCACCAACTACTCATATGCAAATTCAAGCTGAAGCTGAGGAAAATTAAACCGAATCCACAGGACCCAAAATATGACTTTGATTTCATACCACCTGAATTTCAGAATCATCTTAGGAACAGGTTTGAGGCCTTGAACACTAATGAGCTAAAACCAGATGAGTTGTGGGAGGATGTCAAATGTATCATCCAGGAAGAGTCTAAACGGTCATTACAAAGACAGAAGAGGAAGAAAAGACCAAAATGGATGTCAGAAGAAACTCTGAAGATTGCACTGGAGCGTAGAGAAGCCAAAGCACA